ACCCGCGCGTCCAGACTATCGCGCTGAGCCGACAAACAGCTGATCAGCTGTTTGTCAGCTCAGCACAGCAGCCATGTAAACTTAAATGAAGCGGTGATTATTTAAATCGCCGCTTCATTTTCCTATGTCTGGTAGCCTAATCTACATGCCTCTGACGACAGAGGCATGTAGTCTAGACGTACCCAAAGAGATAAGCAAAAGCTGCCTCAGGCCCACCCATCTGAAGCCTCCCGAGCAAACTTCTGAATGAGAGATGCTCAATGGCAAAGAGGGGCCGGAATGTTTTTAAATCCGAGTTAACAAGAACCTCGGGTGGCTGGAGAGATCTGAAAACAGAATCCGGGAGAGAGTGGAATTCCTAAAACAGAGATCGTTTCCTCCTAAACATTACTTGCTATACAGAGCTGACTTAGTAGCTTTCCCCTCCTGACCCACAGTTGTGTTGTTGCCCTTAGTCACTCACTCCAATTAGCATGGTTTGTGGCAAAGGCAAACCAATACGAACAAACATTTGTCTGGGGCTAGGGGCAGTTAAACCAATGTCACCAATTTTGGTCTTGCATGTCACATACCAGGTGCCATATTGCTGTACAGTCTTGACAAAGTACTGCCCAGGAACAAGGCAGCAGGGATCTGTTGGCTCAGAATCATCCTCCTCTCCAAATGCAATATCTGCACAGGAAGAGCTAGAGGAAACCTCTGCCAAGTTGAATAATTCAGACAAGCAGAAGGATGGAATGTGAAGTCAAATGGGGACACCAGAGACAGGCTCCGTGGGAAGAAGACTCTAAAACTAAGAAAATTAATGAAGGAAGGTTAAGAAGGTTAAGAGGAAATGTTTTATCTGTGACGCTCATATGTCTATAGCCCCCAAGAGACACCTGGAATGGACAGAAAGTCAGATTCTCTCCTGACGTATCTGCCTGATAAGACAGGCTGCAAGTAGAGCAGGCTTTGATAGGATGCTCTCCAGATTGGCCTGTAAGAGACCCCTATTTCCAATGAATGAGATGACTATGGAATGCTGGTGGCTAATGGTGTAAAGAAAAACAAAACAAAACAGTGACTGGCTTTGCATTTTTGGCTTACTTACTGGGTACAAGGACAAAACCTGTGGGTTAGAGGATCTCTCCCAAGTTAGCTTCCCCCTGTTGAATAACAATCACACGCACTGCCCAGACACCAAGGCAAACTGCACAAGACACAATGGATAAAACACAGTGCTACATTTTCAGCATTGATGAGCCTCCATTTTAACTTTACTAGGCATGCTCCTTCCTGGCCATCATCCTTTGGAACTGAAAAATAGTCAAAGGTGCACCAATCAGCTGAGCTGAAATGACATCGTTATGGGAGAAAGGAATAATGGCAAGCTGCTAGCCTACAGAGAAACCTAAGTCTAATAGAAGGTTGTTATTTTAAACACAGCAGGTTCTAGAATTCTGCTCCTGGACTGGAGAAGAAACACTGTGTGGAATATTTGCACTGTAGATAGAGTGATGAAGAGGCAAACACTGGATCCCCAACAATGGCTACATGCCATCTGAAGGAGACAGAAACTAACTGACAATCCAAACCCATCTTGCAGGGAATTCATTTGGAAAGCTCGAGGCTGACATATTCAAAGTCTGTCAAGCAGCACTGATTTTCTCACAGCCTTCTCCTGTCCAGATTGGGGGAGGGCTGGGAGGAAGAATTTGTAATTGCAGTCAACAGCTGTAGTTGGGTTCTTTCCCCTTTTTCAGGGAACTACAAGAAATTTGACGATCTCTCTCACTGTTTAATCTATATCTATATTTTAAAAACATGCATCTGTCTGTCTGTCCAGCTGGAAGTTCGTTTGTTCAAGAACTCATCCTAAACATAAGAGTTAGGACCTCCAAACTTGGTGTGCAGCTTCCTCTTATCCTAACTTAAAACAATGCCAAGATTGGTTGTTCCAGGAAAATGGGATCTGCCTAGAATGGGACTGTTCCATAACACAGAAAGGGAGGGGGCTGCTAGGAGGGACAGTCATACTGCAGAGTGACCATGGGTGGCTGCACCAGTAAGACAGTAGCCAGCTGAGGGAAAGGCTCTGCCATCCACCGTCCACAGGTAAGGTACTGGACAGGGTTCCCACTCTCCATGCTGGCTCCCATACCCCACTTTGCAAGGCCCTCCTTACAAATTAAGGGGCCCTATGCAACTGAGAGCATCTCCTCGCTTCTGCCTGGGATTCCCTCTCCCTCTGCACAGCTCCTAACAGGGGCCTGGAGCTTCCCCCCCCCTCTCTCCCCCACCCATCCCCACTTGGCTCCTGAAGGGGGTCTGGGGCTTCTCTCCTGCCTTCCCCCCAGCATGGCTCATAATGGAGCCAGAAGCTTCACTCTCTCCTTCCCCCTTCGTGCAGCTTTCCTTCCTCCCCCACCCCTCCACCCAAGTGGCTCCTAAAAGAGGCTGTGCCCAGGGGCTTCCCTCCTGCCCTTCCCCACCCCACTGCACAGCTCGTAACAGGGGCCGGGGGCCTCTTCCCCGCCCCCCCCCCAACTTATCTGGACTTTAAGGCTTCCCTGATGCTGGAGCTGAGCTGCAGAGGCTGGGGGCACCTCTCTGCAGCCAGTCTGGCAGCAAGAAGCACAGGCAGGAGGGGGCAGGGAGAAGCCTTGCAGCAGCCCCAGGAATAAAAGCCCACAGGGCTGTAGAGGAGCACCCGAACATACAGTGCAGCCTCTACCATTGCAAATGGACCCGGGGAGCTGCCCCCAGCAAAGCAGCGCAGCCCTGGGGATCCCCTACCACTGCTCTGGCAGTGCAGCCCTCACCAGCCACAGGTGGCCCTGGAGGACCCATTGCCCCTTCCTAGCCCCAGAGAGAAGCCAGCAGGCAGTCTGCATGCCCCTGCCCAGGCTGGTCCTGGCCAATGCCAGGTAAGTATTCTAGTAGATTCATAGATTTAAAGGCCAAAAGGGGCCACTGGATCATCTAGTCTGACCTTTTCCCCCCGAAAAAAACAGCTGTGTTGATTACAAATGCATGGTGTTCTGCTATTGACACATTGCTTTTGCAGAATGACATTACAAACCCCTAAGTAACATCCTTGCTTGACATTAAACTCTGGGCACAAGCAATTCTGTTTTCTTGTGGTTTGGATATGAAAAGAAAAAGGTGTAGGTGGCGAGTTCCTAAACGGGTCAAATGTCAGGATCAGAATAAAGGAGATATTCCACTGCCCACTTGATGGAAAGCCGTATCCAGTCTGTGCAGGAAGAGATCTTGGAACACATGCCAAATATTGAAAATATCCCTTCCCCTGACTTGATCACTGGTCCAGAGTCAGTGTGGAGACGGATTCTCTGCCCCAAAAGCATTTCAACTGTTCTTGCAGATTTCTATACTTCAAGCCTAAAACAAAAGCAAGCCAAACAAACAAACAAATCCTTGGCAAGACAGCACCCCTACAGGATCGCCAGAAAGAATTGGCTTCAAGCAGTCTATGGCATCAGCCACTAAAATCATGCAAACATTGAAAGAAATAAAGCAAAAATATAAGGAGATTATTGTAAGGTCTGTTCTCTAGCAACAAGCCAGCATGCCTAGAGATAAATGTTTTATACTGACAGCAAACAGGAAATTCCATCTTACTTTGGGGATAGAAACAGGCCCAATTCAAAACCCTTGATTCACCCACGCTCAAATTCTGGCCAAGTGCCAATCTGGTCCAAGCTTATAAAACATTACTAATTCTAGCTGTAGTGATAATGATTCTTAAGCCTGCATTCAGCCACTTCATTTCCCATCATTAAACCCATTCGTCTCACATCAGGTCAGGTACAGAATCTGATTCTGTTCGCCCTCCCATCACAATCTGGCTGCTGCTAAATCAACCCATACGTAGGCCTAAGCAGGAATTTTTTTTCGCCTTTTAAAGATTTTCCTGTCCTAAATCTGGTTGAAAGGTCAGAGTATCAAAACCTTTTTGGACTCACAATCCAAAAAACAAACAAACCCACCCATTCCAGTTTTGCCAATTTAAAACACTCTGTTTTGCTTTTTTAAAAATATTTCATTTTCATTTCATTCAGTTTTAGAAATCTAATTAGTTTAAAGTTCAAAACGCAAGGTTGATTTGAACTGGAAAACTGGGACTTCTCATTTTAAAAAATGTTGACTTTTTGGTCCAAGCTGAAACATTCATCAAAACTTTTCCCACAGACACTTGCAGTTTAGATAACTTTTTTTTAAGTGTAAAAAAAAATATGGCAGTTTAAATAAATAAATAATCAATCAGTCCTTGACCACCTCTATATATGTGGAATATTTCATTAGAAGAAAAACCCTTCAGCCTATCTGTATGAAGAGGACTATGGCTTCCTTCTTTAAAAAGGTAAAATACAGTATGTTAATGCACATCTAGTCTTCTGAGTGCTACTGAAATGGTTGCCACCTTGACCAACACACAGGGGATTGAATTAGGCCTCTCCAGAGCTGTTCCAACGACAACTGAGGAGAACACACATCTGTTACAACAACAGCTAGAGAGCAGTGACTTCAGCTAAGTAACAGCTGTGAAGACCTATTCCACAGGGAACCTGTAACACACACTAGCTAGTGGTTTACACTATTTCTACGTCTGCTACAGACTCATTGTGTAACTTTCAGAAAGGTATCTGAATACAAAACCTTCCAAAAGTACTCTCAAATTCTGAGTGCCTAGTGCCTGATAAGCCAACGGCAGAACAACCATAACTACAACCAAAACTGAGGGGGCTCGGAGCTTATGAAAAGCAGACCGCAGAAATCCAAAGTTGGGCCTACAAAGTAAGCTAACACTTTAGAAAATTTAGGCCTATGTAATTTTGGCCATAACTGCTCTGCATTTTCCATGTCAATTGCCAGTAACGGTACTTAACGATCTTTGTGATGTGCTCTGACAACCTGGGTATCCGATGTGCTATTAAGTTATTAATTTATTTTATTGCCATTACTAAGAATTTCCCTCTGTGGTAAACTCTGCTTACCCACACAGAGGATGTTGAAGCTGAATCCTTGTGTGACAGATTTGCTGACAAGCTGATCTGGGAGACTATCAAATCCAACATGGCCCCCTAGGGAGAGATTCCGTTTCTCTTCATTCTGTTAAAGCAAACAGAGTCAATTTAGCAAGAGAACATTTAAAGAGAGTCAATAGCATCAGGGCCAGGGAATAAAATCACAAGAAACGTTACCATGATACTCAAGGCAGAGCCTGTTTCCGAGTCACTGAGGCAATCCTAGCACTACCCGCACAGAGGTTTATGTTTTGATATCCACATTCCAGACATACTGGTAATTATAGCCAAGCATCAGTAGAAAAAACAAATCTAATCTTAGCAAGGAATTATCTTAAAGGGACAGAAGACTAAATTGCTGAGCCACTCTAGAATAAAAAGTTGGGGGAAAATTCAGCTCTGTCCATCTTATGGAGAATAAAGCAGGCGAAAACAAAAAACAAAACAAAAAACCCAAACCCCATGTTTTATTGATCACTTCCCTCCCTTTCGTATGTCCAGAGAGGCTCCTGCCCTGAATTATGTCAAAGCTAGTCTGGAGTTCTTTCAGAGCTCTTGATCTTTTTCCTTTAGCTTTGCCTTAAGCAGCTTTGTTCAATCACACTTCCAGGGGGTACACGTTACAGGGAGAAGCAAACGAACACTCTCACCTCACCATCTGTGACCACACCAGTACCTCTTCCTCCTCAGCTGTTCCTCTGCCCCCCCGCCCCATACACACACACGCACCTTGCAATCCCATCTGTCTCCTTCCTCCCCAGGTGGAAAAAAGAAGCCAGCCACTTTTATTGGAAGTAAAATAAATTTTGTTTAGAGATAAATAAATAGGAATGACACAGGAGGAAATAACTGAGTAATAAAATGTCCTTCTGAATAAATCCCAGGGAAATAGAAAGACATGAAGCCTACAGTCTGCCCCTGCAAAGATACACATTGAGCTCCTAGGATTTTACTCTACTGTGTCCAGGGTTCTGAATAAATAGCCACAAGCATGAAAATCATCAGCTCAGACCAAATGCCTGATGGCATAACCAATCGGCTCCATAGGCTTCTATAAACTAGCATTTGTTTACACAGGGGCTGAATTTGGCTCAGGGACACTACAGAATTATCATCATTCCTTGTAGCTTAAGCCTATCAGTCTCAGAAATTGACAAACATTCTTGCAGTTCTAGTCACCTTGTAAAGTTCACCTCTCTGGCTGCCAAAGGCATCCAACGGAGTGCATACCAGGGACACAGAGACTTAGCACATATGCAGTCTGCTACTGCACATAGAAAAGGGGAAAAAATGGCTCAACTGAAAATCCAGAACCATAGTTACTAGTTACTAACATATTAAAAAAACTGAATGTAGCCCGAGTGATGCACACAAGTTATGGGGTATCATACAGAAATAAGGGGGAGCAATTCTATGCCCTGTGTTACATAGGAGGACAAACTAGAGGATTGAATGGCCTCTTCAGGCCTAAATCTGCAAGACATTGATTGGAATCAAGGGACAAGGGAACTTTCATCCAATTTCCTTAAGTAATTAAGAAAAGAATTGTGGTAAAGTATTTATTTTGCATATATATTTAGATTTACAATCAGCTTTCACCTTCACTCCACTCAGCCTAATAATTCCACCAAAAGCAATGGAGTAGACCACTAAATTTACAAACTGTTTTTTCTTTTCAAGTTGCCACTTTATGCATTTAGGCCTAATGGAGAAGCTAGAAATGAAATGACATGGAAAGAGATGCAAAGTAAGGACTGAAAAATAAGTTATTTTAGAGTACGTTCAGTTTCATTCTAACATTTCCTTTGTGGAATTGCACATTTGGTACTGCAACATTTTTAAATACAGCCATTTTTTCCATTGCAAGCACAGAGAGGAAAAAAAAATGAGAGTCTACTTATCTAAACAGGTTTTTTGCTCCTGTTTCCATCCCCCACTATTCTGCCTTGATGTTCCATTGTGCAACACAGCCAGACTACAGAAGCCGTACACTTAGAATAAAGTTAATAGGCTGTCATGTTTTAAATATATTCCCATAAGGGGAGGAGAGGTAAAGCTCTAAAAGCAGTAACTTGAAATTAATTCTTTCTGTGAACAAGATTCCTAAACAAAAGATTAACTTGTTTAATTTCATCTCAAGTCAAAGTTGTCTTCAGTCCTGCTTTGGGAAGAATAAATAAATATTATCTTTATTTAAAAAGACTTTTAAATCACAAGAGGACCTTTTAAATGGCTGAGGCATCTACTGTGTTTGAAATAAGACTGAACTTTCTTTTCTGTGGGTATTGATCTGTTTTTCAAATGAAAATTATCACAAAGCTCTCCCTAGGGCAGAAAGACAATCTGACCATAATCATTTGTTCTCTTGCAATCAGTCCCTGTTTAATTCATCAGTATTGACTGTTCTCACCAAACAACTAGGAAGAAGCCATCGCCAAAATATCCCCTTTGAGAGAGATGGTTCCTATTTAGACTCAAAGATGGTCAAGTGCTAAAAGTATTTCTCATTGTTTAACTAAACCAAAATCTGGGTTCAGAAATAATGTTCTCACTAACACATGGCCGCTTGGATTACAAACATACTGTACTCGGGTGTTGAGCATCGCTTCTTTCCTTTCGTCATTGGCCAGGCTAGTTAGAGATGATACTAGTCTAATCTTTCAGGCCTTTGGCTTATTTTTCAGTCCTTACTCTGCATCTCTTTTCATGTCACTTCATTTCTAGCCATGTCCAGGGTGTTACAATACATTAGCGCACTCAGCTCTCACTTCGGAAGACACTGGTTCATTTCCTAACCACAGAAGTAGGGAGAGCTCTCGATCCACCCCTCAACACATATCAACATGATTCATGGTCTTGGCCCAGAAGACCATGTTACAGATGAAAAGCCAAAATAGTGGTGGATACAGCACAAAGAGCCAAGGGAAAGAAGTTGTTGAGCGCAAAAAAAACCAAACAAAAACAAAAACAAAACCACGCTGACCCTTTAAAAGCCGCATGTGGCCCAAGCAGGCTTCCGTCGGCCGCAGCATCAGTTCTCACTGTGCCAAGCAGCACTCTGTCCATACAAGGAAAAAAGGTCAGAGCAGGGGACTGAGAGAAAAGCCGCGGGTGCGGGAGCTGCAATTTTTCCTTTGAAAAGCCACATGTGGCTCGTGAGCCACGGATTGGCCACCCCTGGCCTAGAGAGTACATATCCCGCCCCTGAGATTCCCCCTTCCTGCCAATTCATTTCAGTCCTGAGCCGTCTGATCTACACTATGGAATTTGGTTGACATAAGGCAACTTGTGTTGACCTACTCTGTATGTATCTACTCCACAACGTCAGCCCCCAGGCCATAGGGATCCAGCGCAGAGCTGGGCTGACAGACAATAGGCAACAGACACTGTATCATCCTAACTACATCAACCTAAGCACTAAGATGGAGTTATTAGGTTGGGCCAATTACATCATCAAGAGCAATATTACAGGTCAGAGTTCTGCCTTATATCAACCTAACTGTAGTGTAGACCAAGCCCTAGATAGGCACCTCAAACCTGAAATGCATTGGCAGGCAGGGGGTTCCCAGAGATCAATGCACACATTTTTCAAGAAAAATTACAGGTTTCCTCTCCCCACCCCCTTCTGCGCTTTCCTCAAATCGCTGTTTACATTCTGTGCAAGTGTTTGCTCTCTCTCTTTTCCTCTTACTGCGTACAAGAAACACACTGTGACAGGGACTAGCAAAGGCACCATCTGGACAAGACACCGCCTTTGAAGAGCTCAGATGTCTAAGCACTGTTCCATCTACAGAACTCCTGGAGGCTTCCGCCCACATTCCCATAAAACTGGTTTCCCTTCCCCTTCCCCCACTCACATCCCTCAGAGAGAACCCTCCCTCGACTTTGGCACATTGCTTCCACAGAAAATGGACTGTTATTGTTGGGCTGAGAAGGAGATTACCCCGAGACTAACCAAAAACACAAACCAGAATCTTAAGATGCTTTCCATGATCACCACTGTCTGAGAAGGAAACAAACAAGGCTTGTCTGAGAACTATGATTAGAATAAGAATGCCCCCAAAAGACTTGAGAGATGTTCCTAGGCAACAGCCAGCATCACTACTGCTGATTTTAAAGCAAGCTCTAGCGAAGCCAGGCTGAAATCAAAAACTAAAACATGCTCAAGAAAGAGAAGGAGAAAAGCCAAATCTCCAGCGGCGTTTCTTTTGCTTCTCTTTGCAATGTTTAGTTCCAGGTCAGCAGGTGTCAAGAAAGAGGTGCACTGCATATACACTGCTAAAACACCAATCCTCTAAACTGGTCATAAGATTAAAAATTCTGTGAATGACATAAAAACGGGGCCAGTAATGTTGTGATGTTGTTTTTCTTTTTTATTTTCCTCAATGGTAACACAATTTGATCCAAATCCAGGATCTTGTTGCCACTGAAGTCAAAGCAGAAGTAAACTGAATCTACTGTGAAGGAAGAAAACTACTGGTGCATTGCTGTTATCCTACTATAGTGCCACTGCTGCAGCTGCCTAGGAAACATTAACCATACGACCAGGACGGTTGATTTGTTCCATTTCTATGGCAAGCCTCCGATGGCTTTGATTGGAAAGGTAGCTCCACCACCAGTTTAAAAAAAAAAGTCATTCTTCTGAGAAAATAGATTTATCTAATTGTGTGTACGTGTACACGCATGCAAAGTATCAACAAAAATAACAAAGGATACAGATTAGAGAAAAGGGAATATTTTTTATTTTTGCCTGTTTGCTGACTTTGTGCTCTTCACAGCTCTTTGCATATAACTAGTTTCTCTATATAGTCAGTTTTGCTAGTTGTCTGTTGTTTAAATGGAAGATCTATACAAAGGAGAGGAAGACATTTTTTAAAAACATACAGGAAACTGATTACCAAACTTGAACAATGTGGCTATTTGGCCGGTTGAATGTGGCTAGTTCATTATGGCTGTAGCCACTATAGTGGCTACTGCTTCAGAACTGGCAGGACAACACCACTCTATATAGTCAGCAGACACAGCTATTTGGAGGGACCTAGTTTTGCCTGTGTCGTTCCTTCCTGTCATGTTTATAATGTGATTTGCTCTTTACACCCAGGAGGAACAATAGGGAGGGATACCTTCTTTGTCCCAACCAGGGGCAAACCACTGACGACAGAAAGGTGGTGTTGCTCTAAGGAGTAGCTCCTCACG